GGGAGTTGATATGAATTAATTGTTGCTCGAAGAAAGAATTCGAGGATTGAGGCATGCAGCAGGTGGTTTATCGGAAGTTAAAAACGGTTACAAAAGGTTACTCAAGTCACAAAATAGGGAGCGGTTACGCATACCACATCGAGCCCATGTAGAATTAATCGCCCCCAATTAACTTCTATAAATAAAAGAGGCAATCTCATTTCAAGGGGTCGGAAAATCATGCTTAAGACTTCTCACAAGCACTCACTGTCTGCGCATATGGATCCCGTGTACGAGATTCTGAGTATGACTTCTTGGCCTAACCATTTTTCTTTTCTTTTCTTAGGATTATCTTAACTTAGTGCAATGTAGTTTTGTAAGCTCATTTGCTTCTCATAATTGTTGTGTTATAATCTAGTAATTAGGTGAAACAAATAAATTATAATTTCCATTGTTAATGTGTATGTTGTTCACTCGATTCATTAGAAGATTTATATGTATGAGACTTATTTTGTGGTGATTATCAATGAATACTTGGAAATCTATGCATGTTAGTTCATATTTGATTGGACCTTAATTAGCTTGACTTTCTTCTTTCAACATTGCCCCTCAAATTCTTTTTAGTGAAATAGGATACATCATTTAGTACGCATACCTAACTTGAAGCTTTGTTAGCTCGAATAAAAAGAATTCAATAAACGAAATTCCCCACAAACAGAAGTATATTTTTCTTTTAAAAAATATATTTGAGTGTAGCTTGCTAACTTAATTTTTCTTAAAAATAAATGGATGTAAGTTATCAAATGTATATGAAGTTTGTTAAAATACATCTTCTCTTTTAAAAAGAGTATATTAACAAGTTATAATCGTAATATTTTTTAAAATGCACCTAAATATAATTTGTCAACTTACTCCTTTTAAAAAAAAGTAATTGAGAAATAACAAACTTATATGTATGAATACACGGTATGTCATGTCAATTATAGTTAAATAAACTTAATTAAAAGATAATGGTTTATCCAAGTTCATATTATACTTTTTTTTTTAAAACAAAGTTTTAATGAGAGAAATGAATGGTTAAATAATTATTTTGTTACTTATATAAAGAAAAATAATTTTGAAGATGTTGAAAATGAAAAAACCATTCAATATTTTTAGAATATGAAATCTCGTAGAGAATAATTAAAATGTATATTTTTATTCCAAAAAATATAAAATTATATATTTATTACTATAAATTTGTATATAAATATTGCCCCACTACTTAATATTTCTGGATCCGTCATTGCTTATATAGAATGTGACTTGATGAATATTGCCTTGATTATTATAAGTTATGGATGAAACAATTGTTGATAAATCATATGAATGTTCAATATTATGCTTTTGTTTGTGTGCGGTGCAACTGCACTAGTAACCAAAGTGAGATGTTTCTTAGTCATATTTTCTTTTGTTGTTTTGCTTTGTTGTGTTTATGCAAGTGAATTAAATAATGGAGGAGTTTAAGTTTCATGTTGGAAATGCTATGATAGAATGTGACATCAAGACATTAGTTAAGAATTACGTTATTGCATTAGGGACTTAGTTTTTTTTCCTTAGAAGATGTTTTTGCATTAGTTGATATAATGATCTGTTATAGTTCATATACTTTTATGGTTCACATCTAATTAATGACATAAAATATCGACTAAATCTAGAATTATTATTCTAAACATATATGGGGAAAATGTACTATAACATATACCTGTAAGAGTTTTTGACAAAATAGAATTCTATACAAGTATATAAATATATATAGTAATTTAGATAATAAATAACAATCCTAGTTGTTGGTCCAACCTATACAACCAAGATAGCTACACAAAGGTAACTTCAAAATCAACAACTCCGCTAATAGACATGACCTCTAAAGGTCTCCAATTATAACTTATGTTTGATCTGCTCTCATACTAAGTATGATCATCATAGTCCAATCACATAAAACACGCAAAGGTAATGTACGTTAGGTACGTTTTCTTATATGTGGTCAAGTTTTGTGTGTTTTATGTTGTAAAAAAAAGTTAAAATCAATATTTATTTTCGAAGTTGTTGGGATAGAAAGAGAATCTTGAGACAATCGAAAGATTCCTAAAGGTTAGTTCGATAAATCGAGAAAAAGGAGTTATCACTAGTTATGATTCAAGCAGTTAGGGGCGGTTCAAGGGAGTTACTCACAAATTCATGAACATCAGGGTAGTTATACATCAAGGGAGTTGATATGAATTAATTGTTGCTCGAAGAAAGAATTCGAGGATTGAGGCATGCAGCAGGTGGTTTATCGGAAGTTAAAAACGGTTACAAAAGGTTACTCAAGTCACAAAATAGGGAGCGGTTACGCATACCACATCGAGCCCATGTAGAATTAATCGCCCCCAATTAACTTCTATAAATAAAAGAGGCAATCTCATTTCAAGGGGTCGGAAAATCATGCTTAAGACTTCTCACAAGCACTCACTGTCTGCGCATATGGATCCCGTGTACGAGATTCTGAGTATGACTTCTTGGCCTAACCATTTTTCTTTTCTTTTCTTAGGATTATCTTAACTTAGTGCAATGTAGTTTTGTAAGCTCATTTGCTTCTCATAATTGTTGTGTTATAATCTAGTAATTAGGTGAAACAAATAAATTATAATTTCCATTGTTAATGTGTATGTTGTTCACTCGATTCATTAGAAGATTTATATGTATGAGACTTATTTTGTGGTGATTATCAATGAATACTTGGAAATCTATGCATGTTAGTTCATATTTGATTGGACCTTAATTAGCTTGACTTTCTTCTTTCAACATTGCCCCTCAAATTCTTTTTAGTGAAATAGGATACATCATTTAGTACGCATACCTAACTTGAAGCTTTGTTAGCTCGAATAAAAAGAATTCAATAAACGAAATTCCCCACAAACAGAAGTATATTTTTCTTTTAAAAAATATATTTGAGTGTAGCTTGCTAACTTAATTTTTCTTAAAAATAAATGGATGTAAGTTATCAAATGTATATGAAGTTTGTTAAAATACATCTTCTCTTTTAAAAAGAGTATATTAACAAGTTATAATCGTAATATTTTTTAAAATGCACCTAAATATAATTTGTCAACTTACTCCTTTTAAAAAAAAGTAATTGAGAAATAACAAACTTATATGTATGAATACACGGTATGTCATGTCAATTATAGTTAAATAAACTTAATTAAAAGATAATGGTTTATCCAAGTTCATATTATACTTTTTTTTTTAAAACAAAGTTTTAATGAGAGAAATGAATGGTTAAATAATTATTTTGTTACTTATATAAAGAAAAATAATTTTGAAGATGTTGAAAATGAAAAAAACCATTCAATATTTTTAGAATATGAAATCTCGTAGAGAATAATTAAAATGTATATTTTTATTCCAAAAAATATAAAATTATATATTTATTACTATAAATTTGTATATAAATATTGCCCCACTACTTAATATTTCTGGATCCGTCATTGCTTATATAGAATGTGACTTGATGAATATTGCCTTGATTATTATAAGTTATGGATGAAACAATTGTTGATAAATCATATGAATGTTCAATATTATGCTTTTGTTTGTGTGCGGTGCAACTGCACTAGTAACCAAAGTGAGATGTTTCTTAGTCATATTTTCTTTTGTTGTTTTGCTTTGTTGTGTTTATGCAAGTGAATTAAATAATGGAGGAGTTTAAGTTTCATGTTGGAAATGCTATGATAGAATGTGACATCAAGACATTAGTTAAGAATTACGTTATTGCATTAGGGACTTAGTTTTTTTTCCTTAGAAGATGTTTTTGCATTAGTTGATATAATGATCTGTTATAGTTCATATACTTTTATGGTTCACATCTAATTAATGACATAAAATATCGACTAAATCTAGAATTATTATTCTAAACATATATGGGGAAAATGTACTATAACATATACCTGTAAGAGTTTTTGACAAAATAGAATTCTATACAAGTATATAAATATATATAGTAATTTAGATAATAAATAACAATCCTAGTTGTTGGTCCAACCTATACAACCAAGATAGCTACACAAAGGTAACTTCAAAATCAACAACTCCGCTAATAGACATGACCTCTAAAGGTCTCCAATTATAACTTATGTTTGATCTGCTCTCATACTAAGTATGATCATCATAGTCCAATCACATAAAACACGCAAAGGTAATGTACGTTAGGTACGTTTTCTTATATGTGGTCAATGTTATTTTTCAATTAGAATTAAAGTTTATAGATAATATAACGTTTGTATTTAATGCGAATCTAATTAAATTCGTTTACATATTATTAAGATAATATTTTAATTGTGATTAAAGAATAATATCAACCACATCTAAAAAACTATACTTAAGTTTTTATTTTTTTTAATTACCTAATCCATATCACAATAAATGTAATTTAAGATTTTTACACACAAATTAAGAATAATAATAAATATATAACTTTTTTTTTATACAATTTATTAAAATAGTTTATCTTTCATTAAATGTATTACTTTTAATTATGATGGATAAATAACTTATGAAGAAATAAATTAAAAGAAGAAAATAATTAATATTTCATTAAAAAATTGAGAACATAATTCACTTTAAAACATTTTTTAAATGTCAAAATTCGATCATTTTGATACAAAAGAGTAACTTTATTCATTTAATTAATCTAACTCATCAAATACATATTTTGTTTTTGATACTGACAACAACAAAAAATTATCAGAGAAACATACCTATTTTTATTGATCACGTCTTAATATAAAATCTTGGATACTAAATACAACACCACTTTTACATAAAAATAAACTAGCAGAAACTTGATACTTTACACTATTTATTTTTCTTAATGAGTTAATCACCTATATACTACCAGTGTAAAGTTTTTTTACACTGGTAACCAATTATATTTCTTAATTGTGTCATGTCACTATTAAAAGTAAATATATTTACAGTGACATGATACAATTAAGAAATATAATTGATTGCCAGTATAAAAAAACTTTACACGAATAATCTATAGATGATTAACTTTTTTTTAATTATTAAAAAAGGCCAAATGTGTTGCCTTATCCTAAGCCCATTTTTTTTGAAAGTAAAAATGGTACAGGTCAAATGAGAAGAAAAAGATATTATTATCTGAATGAAGCCCAATTACTTCGCCCAGTCAATGAAGAACTTGAGATTCTTCAATGACTGACCACCTTCTGCTATGTCATTTATGATAATTTCCTTCCATTTCAAAGACCTTGCTTTTATGTCTTCATCACCAACAAGTTGATGCACCTTCTTCTTTATCTCTCCCCTTGAAATTATTCCATTTTCATCCTTCTCTAATCCAAGTCCAATCTTCCACACATCACAAATATATGACTTGTCAAGATATTGATCAGTGGCACAAGGCCAACACAAGAATGGTACACCAGCACATACACCTTCTATGGTAGAATTCCAACCACAATGACTAATGAAGCAAGCAATGGAAGGGTGGTTCAATATCTTCATCTGTGGTGCCCAACCTACTATTTTACCTTTACTTCCATGAAATCCATGTGGGTATGCATTAGCATTTACTTTGTTGTCATTACTTGGACGTACAACCCATATAAAAGGCTTGTCAATGAGATCAAGTGCAAGGGCTAATTCTTGGAATTGGGTAGGGTCCATTACTGCCAAACTACCAAAGGAAACATAAACAACAGATTGAGGTGGTTGCTGATCTAACCATTCTAAACAAGTTGTGTCTTCTTGCCAGAATGAGCTTTTGTTGCTGTCACTTTCCATCAATGGGCCAATGGGGAGGAACTTTGGTGATATGGAAATTGCTCCTGGCTCAAGATCATAGGTAGTGTTGCAAAGCCACCACTCTCCTAACTCCGAAGTTTGCATCTCTTGCACTAAATGGTCAAAGAAGGTCTTGTTAAAGCCACGCCATGGGAAGTTTTGTGTGTCAATCATTGGCATATTTGGAGAGAGTTGAATTTCTTGCTTTTTGGTGGGAAGTCCTGTAATGCCAAAAGAAATCACGAAAATTATGTTATCCATACTTGGGATTAATTAGGGTTGTTATCGGTTTTTTCAAAAAACCGATCCAAACCGAACCGAACCGTTTTATAAAAGTGGATCGGTTAACCGATCCATTTTTTATAAAGTGGATCGGTTTGGTTTTCTTAAAATATGGATCGGTTTTTTGAAATTGGATCGGTTCGGTGCGGTGCATTTATCCACTTTTTACTCATATATGAATCGGTTTTTTTAAAAAATCAAACCGAACCGAACCTATCCACTTTGTAAAAATAGATCGGATAACTAAATCGGTTTTATAAAGTGGTTCGGTTCGGATTTTTTTTCAAAATGGATCGAATTTTTCAATATGGATCGGATCGGTTATGGATCGGTTCGGATCAATTTGGATTTTTTGCACACCCCTACTTGGGATATTAATTAAACGAGCAATTGAAATCAACCATGAGTAACATTTTGACGTGGGAAATCCTAAACTAACACTTAAATGTTTTAATATTTGAAAAATATTCTAAAATGAATGATGACAGTTTTTTAATGTAATAATAACTATTTTTTTTTAATTTATCCTTTCATGAATTATTCTGTCACTATATTTATTGAGAATGTGAATTATTTTAATAAAATTATAATAAGTGTCAGCTACATCAAAATCAAAACCACCGGCATATATTCCCAATAACAGTTCAGAATACCATTGACAAAGTTCGAAAGTTAACTAAAAATAATGAAACATTTATTTGTTCGTAAAATGTGGATTCTTTTGGTTAACATGAATAGGAAGAATCAATTTACCAAAGCCAATACGAAATCAATCTGCCATGTACGTACAACTGAATTGCATGATAATTATCGGTGAATACCAATCTCACTATTCACTAATATTTTGAAAAGAGTGGTATGCTAACTTTTAGGCGAGGTTTATATATATTTAATGATACATGGAATAAGAAAATTAAGTAAATATAAAAAAGAAAAGGCATGGTATGAACAAGATCAAATTAAGTTATCATATCATTATAACCGGCTTCCTCCATCAGTCCATCCTGATTTCATTCAATATCTAATACAATTATCGGATGTGATAAATTCACATGATATTATAATGAGTAAATACAAAAAAAGCATACGGAATATTAATATTACAATGATCCAAAACTGTGTTCTGACCGCATTGAATATACTTAATTGTTGTGTTGATGATACTTATAGCTAAATTTTTAATTTTATGACAATGAAGAACAACAAGATCAATGTATTTCTATTTTGAGCAAATTAATGATTTAATCATTAGATGAAATTGAGATGAAGAGATTGACCGTAAATGAGAGAGATTCTATCAGATTAATTAGAATATAGGAAAATTTGTTATTAAAATTTTTTTTTACCAACACAATATATATAATACATATTGATATATTATTAAAAAAGTATAAATATAAGTTATAATAACACAAAATATTTTATTAAATTTTATTCAAAATTAATATTAAAATTATGTGTAATTATATATCAAATAAATATATATCTACATATATTATATTTTTAGTAACAATTTTTGTGTGTTACTATGTAACATTAAACTACACCAACATTTATTGAGATTTTTTGAAATTACTCAAATCTCTTGTTTTATTAAAATAACATTCCTTACAATGGTCAAAATATAATGATTTTCAAATAATTAAGAAAGTTAATTAATATAAAGGTAAAAACTAGTGATAAATATTATAAAACCTGTATCTACATGATTTATTCGATATAAGTCATACAATCTCAATACTTAATAGATTAAGTAAACAATCTTTGCCATGAAAAATTACTTACCTTGAGAATCAATAATGGCATCATGAATGAGCTTTGGGATGCAAACAAGAGAAGCCAGGGAAGTTGCAGAGGCTGGACAGAGGTTAGCCCCTCTGATCCCGAGTTTGTGGCCAACTTCCAAAGCCCAACCCATATGTATTGTAACAATTATACAAGTGATCTTATTGTGCGCATCCAAAGCATTAACATCTTGTATAAGCTTTGGAAGCCTAGAACGCATGGTGCTTTTTATTGAGAAAAGAAGTTTGATCCCATCGCTTCTGTCATCTTGAGGGTCCAAACCATCAGGGAGAGTCACCAACTTTATCTGTGATCCTTCCAAGTTGTCAGCACCAGCAGTGTTGGCTCGTTTGAGGCTGAACTCTGTGTGTACAAAAGTCACCTTGCAACCGTGTTTGGCCAAAAGAAGAGAGAATTGCATAAGGGGGTTCACGTGTCCTTGAACTGGAAATGGTATGCAAAGAAAGTGAGGGATTCCCATTTGCATGAATTCGTGATGGGAAACAAGAGGATTATTAGGAGACTTCAAGATATTGATTCAAGTGTGTGATTATTGTTGTAGTTTGCATGCATGATATGTGACTTTTGTGTTTAATTTCTTTTATATAATTAAAGGTGTCACGGCTATTAAAATGCAAATGCAAATTGAGATACGTTACTCCAAGTCAAAGTTGGTGGCTTTGATTTCAAGACATATGCATATATAGAATTACACATATCATTATAGATTTAATTAACCTTTTGTTTAATTATAGATTTATAGAATTTACCTTTTGGCTTATATAGATTTATAGAATTTGAGGACACATATGATTACTTACACATATATTTATATCATTAAAAATATTTTATTATAATATTTTTTTTAGTCTCTATAATTCTACAAATTTTACCTTCAATTTTAATAAAAATAATATTTTCATAATACTATTAAATAATTTTTATTTTCTTATATATTTGAAGTTTTCATAAGAATTCATTATACACTTTGATTTTAAATATTTTGAAATTTTAACTAAGTTGTAAATGCTTGTGCAGAATACTAGTCATGGACACTGGTCATGCGTAATAGCTGACGTTCTATGTCATATATACTTTTCTAAAAAAATTTAAACGTAAGTTTTATAAAATGCTCCTACACTAGTCATGCTGTTTTCCTGTATTTTTTTTATTATTATTATCAAAGAATATTTCTTGTTGAACATAGAATAACTTTTTTTGAATTTGAAAGGTATTAAATAGATAACTATTTTCTTCCAACTTAAACTTTTTATATTAAAAATGTCAACATATTAATTGTAATCATTTAATTAACGACGTAAGTGTGGTATTACTGGCTGGTGCCAAGCCTAGCCAAGTTGGTTTGTGTTTTCCTAAATGGATTATACAAGTCAATACTCAATAGTCATGGACGACACTGCTAAAAGTAGTGAACACGTCATAGCTGACCTGTTAAAACATAAAACTCTCCGGCATTCATAACATGTTATTTATGATAATCACTAAACATTTATTAATACGATAATCAATCGTGGAGATGATTTTCATGCACTCTCTTAATTAGTTAATATAAATTAAAAGTATTTTTTTTAATATTATATGTGTATTTTATATCATATATATCTTGTATGTGTCCCTTATAATTTATCTTTAAAGCGAGCTCATAACCAGGTTCTTTAATCCTTTTTTATTTTGGTATTAGGTTCTAAATTTTCTTTTTTAAATCTTTCAATTAATTTACTATTTTATTTTCATGGTAAGTATTAGTTTTGTTTCATACTTTTAAAACATTGAATACATTATTTCATTTAATATATTAACACGTGAAATTAATTAATGGTGTAATGTAAATAAGAAACAGTTGTATTTGGTCTGGTACATGTAATGTTTCTGTAAAATGAAAAAGCTTCTAATAAAGTTACAAAAATTACAAGTCCTCTTGATATATTATTTTTTATACACCAACATTCCTACTTTATTTTTACGGTAAGCATTATTATTTATTATATTTTTAAGAGATTAAATAAATAAGTTTTTTTTAAGAAAGGTAGTATACAAGATAAAAATGTGTAGCAGGATATACTCTCATATGAGGATGCCCTATTTTATAGTGAGGAGACATGATGTATATTTTAATTTGTGATAGTGTAGTAGAATTGAAGCTTGTTATTGTAGCGATCGCCGGAAGATAAATTTCAGTGAATGCTTAGTTGCTTTATGTCTCGGCATGGGGATAAAGATCTTTGTATATCTTCTTCAGTGTTTGTTCTGCCACTTTACACTCTTGTGCAACTATGTGATACCTAACCATTTTAAATGCAAATTCACATCACGATTGACACAACATTCAAAACAAATTGCAAAGAAAATTAATTGGGACTCCTCGAGAATTTGATGATATCAATTAACTTTCAAGGCTGAGATATTTTTAATTGCAGCGTACCGTAATTCATCAAGAAAAATATTTTTCATTACAATAAAATATAAGAACTTAGTGAGAAATGAAAAATAAAGGAAAATTTTCTTGTGTAGTACATAATTATTGATAGTGAATAACCCTTTTCTTTAATATAGGCAATCGCTAAAGAAAAAGCGAATTCTTTTAATCTTGCAAGAAAAAAAAATGTTAAAAAGAAAGACTCCAAAAGTATAGACTAAATCTTTCTACAAAGATTCATCATCAACAAAAACTAAGTAATTATTTCATATTATCCCGAAATCTAAAGAACTTAGAAAACAATAGAGAATATGTAATATTTGGAACCTTATATTTAAAGGAAAGTCAAAAGAGAATCATTCCTCGAAAGTGGCTCTTATTCTCCGAAAGCTGAGCAACCATATAAATGATTGTCAACAAAATGGAAATAGAGTTCCACCCTATATTTAACTCTTGTGATTTTTTACCACTTCTTTCACAATCTTGATGATAAGATTGTTAAGGCCAAGATTAGAGCATAAGCGTCTAGCTATATCTATGGCATGAGTGGTCTTATAATAATTTCTACCGGCCTCAAGATGCTTCTTAAGAACCTTTATGGCCATGCTTATCTCCTTCCTTTTGACTTCATTTGAAACACCAGTGTGAATTTCTTTCCCTTTGTCTTGATCAGCAACAACAACATGAAACTCCTTTAGAGTCGAAAACCTTTTTTCTTGGTAAGACAAGTACAAGCATACCACAAAAGTCGCCTTCAAGTTTTTTGTATCTAGTAAATAACCTTCTCTCTTTTGTTGTAGAGTTCCTTGGCATGATTTTTTTGTGGTCCGAATCAAGCCTAGGGCATTAGCCATCTGTTCCACATGGTCCTAAGATCAAGTATGAGCTTGGAGTCTTTCTTGTCGTTCATTACCTCGAATTGGTGGGAACGAGCTACCATATTATTATTGTCATTGGATAAGGGTGAGTTTGCAATATTAGTGCCAAAGCGAGCTCCACTAGTTAGTAGTAGAGGGTTGAAAGGGTTAGTCACACGAAATCTTAATTTGTTCATGATGCTCATCATCATCCTTTTCCTCATGTTTAGAAGAATAGATTTGTCTTTCAGGTCTTTCATCTATGAAATGGGACTCCAAAACCAAGCCAGATTCGGAGCAGATTGTGTCTCCAGCATTGTGATCATGCATGGTTAAAGTGTAAGTTTTGCAGTCACTACAATACTCTTCATCTCCCATGGTGTGTTTAATTTGGAGATGAATGAATGAAATGGTTTTTCTTATGGCCATTAAATGAAAAAGCTTTTAGTCAATGGGAATTTATGGTGAGGATTGAGAATGTGGCTTGTTTGTGAATCTCATTAATTAAGAGTACAACTTGGGAATTCTAGAATTAAATATTGATTTAATGTAAATCATTAATTACAGTCTTTAGTACATGCAGTCTTTGATAATATTATTGATGAATTAATAATATAATACTTACATGAAAACTAATAATTTAGTAAAAAAAATTTGACTGAACCAAAGGAAAATAATTTAATAAAGTATATTTTAACATAATTTAAAAGAAATATAAATATCTTATATACTAATAATATTATTACTATTATTATTTTTTTGCTACATTGCAATTTTTCGGTTCATTGTTAGTATTATTTATTAATGATATTATTAATAACATATATATATTGTTTTATTTAGTAATATTATATATATATGTTTTTCGATACTTGAATTAATTGATAATTTATATGACTTAATTTGGTCAACAAGTATATAATTTTAAATTATTATAAAATATTAATATTAATATAATAATATTATTATCAATACTAATTTACCATTAATATTATTAACGCTTAATAATCAATACAATATATATGAATTATATATGTTTATTTTTTTACCAACAAAACAAGTTTCTGTTTTTTTTAACCTTTGATGTGTGTGCTTTATTGAAGCTATTTTTACTTGCCATTACAGAAAAGAGCAATGTCTAGAGATCGATATTAAACTATTACTATTGTCTCAACCACACTTGGTAGTCTGTTCCTTTGTCAACAAACTTGTGCCAGCTCCCATCCAATTGGTTCTCCTTGGAGGGATTCCAATCAAACTGTCCAAGCTTCATTACTAATGCATCACCAACCTGAGCCACATAACCTTCATTGTTTGCATGATATATCTTGATAGAACTCCTGCAATGGATCCCACCTCGTCTCCTAGCCTCAATCAACTCGGCTATTACATCATGGATGCCAAAATCGTAAAAATGGTCATAAAATATTACAGGCTGCAAAATAATTCAAACAACAAGAAAACGTCAAGATTCGAAGAGTTGTGCAAGCAAACAAATTACCTTAATTCCTCGGTCCTTGCAAACAAGGAACTGTATTTTTTAATATCTCAAGTTTTTTCTGGAAAATATAACTGAAGAACCTTAAGTAAATGACAAGTGTATCATGAAAGTATTAGATGCTATTTATTGTGTTAAGGACTTACAGTTCCGGGATGAGTCAAAATATATGCATATCCCTGCATAAGCTTATCCCGTGGGAATGGCCAGTGGCCCTGAAAATGAAACATAATGTTAAGTCCATTTTTCTCATTCTCTAGCACGGTTAGGTTGTAACTTGAGCATAGAAGGTAGTAATAGTAATGCAACAATGTCACGACTCACAAAGGTCAAATTTTGGAATCAGTGGAAAACAAAGGAATCGTTTGTTACAGCCGCAAACAAGATGGATGTAATTGCACTATTGCAGTATTGACAAAGAAACAAGGAAATCCATATACTTGAAATGATTGGATTACAGATTAAATTGAAGTAAATTAAGAATCTAGGATTATCATTAATGAGGAATGACTTAGACTAAGTAGGTTTACCTAATCAATTATATAGACCAAATTCCCGGGGCTATGAAGCACATTAACAAAAATTCAAAATCCATTTCTGGGTTCCTAACAAATATTTTATGCATCAAACTTCATTAGATATATATAGAGAGAGGGAGAGCTGATACTTGGGTGGACCCGGTATCATGGTTCTCTAGGAATGTAACAGCACGAGAAGCCCACCATCCCATCACTCCTGTTGGTTTCCCTTGAGGATCTATCAGTCTCCAATATTCGTTATGCAAAGCAGAATGAAGTATCCCCTGAGAAAGGGTAATAAAACAGAATAAGAACCTTTAGGATGCAGAAAGATAATACCAAATTCTAGCATAAAATTTTCTGTTTTTATTATGCAACTGCCTCCTCCCCATGGCGCCAAAAGAAAACAAAACTTGGCCAAGAGAATTTCAACACGAGAAAAGCTACAGCAGTCAAATAATAGGCTTGCTGTCAATTGCAATATCAAAGTTTGAAAACTCCTAGTAGGATCGAGTCTTTATCGGGACTTGATTGGATTAACACAAATGACATATAAACCTTGAGCAGATCTTCATCCTAATATGCGTCTCACATGCAAATCTAACTCAGGAACTGAAGTACATCCTTATGACTATTGTAATTTGTAAAACATCTAGTTTCTTTTGGAATGACTTAATTGGCATTTTTCGTGTACAATGAGGTGTAACCTCACATTGGAGCTATTTTTCATATTGCACTTTAAATATTTTGGCAGAAAGAAAAAAAAAAAAAAAAAAACAGACTGATAATATGGCAGTTCGTGGTTCATGTTGTTTTTCGGTGCATTTCAATGGTGTCTCTCTTACCAATACATTTCTTAAGAGATAAAGTTGTATTTGCTGTTTCTATCTGGTGCTATACTCATCAATTGGTGTCTAATGTGTAGGAAATTGGAAAATTTAGTTATTTTTGGCTTGCTGTTTTCTTTTATTTTCTCTTTCTCAAGCTACACAAATGCTTCCTCCGACTGAATATTTATCCACTTAAACAAAATTTATGTTCATAATCACATCCAAATATGAATTAGATAAATATTATTAAACAGCTGAATGCCGCTTGTTCTTTTACAGAGAGCAACACAACCACTTCATCTAAGTAACTAGTTTTTATCAATTATCTAAAGAATATAATCATTTAATCCCTTGCTATATTCTAAAAGGACATGTCCGTGAAATCAGTTTTGCATGATTGAACTGTGATTACATCTCTCTAAAATTATATTTTTCACAATAGAAAGTTTCTGGATCTGAAACTAACAACAAACTTCATCAACTGTTTAAGAATACAGAGTACCTTTGTTGTGATATCAAACGCAGACGAAGTGCCACCAGTTGCATTAATCCAATTAATTATCCGCTGCCGATGAGCATCTAATTGTTATAACATCATAAATAGCTTGTAAGACAATAATATAAAAATTGGATAGATTGGAAATATTTCATGTTGTTGCAATATGACCAAGAGATAATAAATATGTAGAGAATATCACATGATTGGTGGGAACACATGTGGTACTGTAGGATTTCTTGAAAGTAAAAATAAAATAATGTCCAATCCCTTTAGATGTCACTAACTAGGAGATAAATTGATAACAAATAAATAGCCATTAGTCCAATTCTGCTTCCAAGAACTAGCCATATGCAATGTAGTTTCCCAAGTAATAAGCAATGTAAGAAAATCATGGGTGTATATTTCTAGTATTTGGAAATCTGCATGCACAAAATATAATTTTATCAACAGAGCTGAAATATATGGAAAGATCCAAGCAATATCATACCTTAGATTATCCCTTTTTCCTTATTACCTCTTAAATTAGTTACTATATCTCCTTATCTTATCATGATTGGTTTCACAAATTAGTTAGGATTATGATTAGTATAAATAAGTGTTAGTACTTTAGGTTTTATGAACACATCAACATAGCAATGCATTGTAATACAAAATTAATATCAATTCAGTGTTTCATTCTCTTTTATCTCTCTTCCTCCACTATATTAAACCTCATAATTTCAACAAACACAATTAAAACTCAATTTTCCTCAATATACAATAAGGATAGACTAATATCAAATGAGTCTACAAGCAGTGAACAAATAACCTTGGTTGTAACACAAACTTCCGTGCTCATAGGCCAAGCTGTCCCAATATTCTCCAATGGCAAATGCGGGATTTGATGCTTCAATATATTCTTTTACATATGTACCAGAGAAGCCTCTGCAAGCAGCAAATAAGGAGTTATCAAATTTAACATTAGAATAAGTTAGTTATGAAACAAAAAGAACCAGACTATCTTTCAAGTTACATGTGATAAAAGCTAAAGATGTATAGCATAAAGCAAACACAGACTACTGAAACATTTTAGATGTTAGGCTCTGAACATAGTATCCATAAGTATCTTATTATTCATTCATGAGACCATTGATATGACATAAGAAGGTAGGGCTTTCCTATTAACAATTTTATTATTTAGTTACACTAGTTTCGGTGTGCAACCTAAAATTAAAACAATTTTCTTGTAAGAAAGTTCCGTTAAAGACAAATACATCATAGAAATGAGTTCTTTTTTACTATGAAGAGCATACTGCTGACAATATTACAAACTCTATTTTAGAATTTAGCATTTTCCAATGGCTAGTTGTTGTCAAAGAAACACTTTACCTCAAATCTTAAGCTATTAAGCAAGGACCAAAGAATGGTTTTAACACTAACAAGAAACCTCCACATGATAAAACCATCCATTGGGCTTGAAATGTGATTCACCTATATACTGAAACTATAGGCTAACTTAATCTGTTAATCTGAAAATTTAGTAAGAGCAACAAGGATTGAATTCTAGACCATTTGGTTATTTCTTTGGTCTCCCACTGCAGTGCTGCAGTGACTACAGAGGAATGGACCCTTATAACTGCATTATATTAGCAAAATAAAATTTGTTTTCATCAAGCAATATACACAAAACATGGACTTGTCACATACATCACAAGATGGAGAAGGTTATGCCAATTGTTTAACGGATTGCATTTACATAGGAATTTCTTCTAATTTTTTTGGTCAATAACTCTCCGGAATATATAAAGTGATAAAAGAGAAACTTAGTAAAACTTAATGAGTAAAGAAATTTCCACAAAACCTCAATACACTTGAGCAGACAAAAAAAACTACCTAACAAAGTCAAGACGCCATCCATCATAACCTATATCACTGCGAAGCCAGTTCAACCACCCCTTGATATCTTTCCTTACAAAGTCCTGAGAATGATCAATATTGGGTGCAGCATGGAAGATATCACCTACATATAGCATCAAAAAAAGTCTAGATAAGTAAAAACTCCTGATTATCAATGTAGTAGCTGGTAAAGCATTGTATTTCTGTAGTCTTATATTGTGGAAGTATCTGGTAAAGTATTGTGTAGTCTTATATTGTGGAAAAGGTGCGATATTTTTGTCTTTCATCTCAAGGTAATAAGACAAGATTGAACTTGTGCATCATCTGTGTAGGATATTTAAATATACCACTTGAAGGATTTCCTCGCCCCTCAAAATTTGGATCATCACATACAATTGCTTCAGGTCCCCATGCAAGCTGGCCACCAAAAATGTTCCAAACACCATTTGGACTCTGAAACAGGTAAAAGTTGTTAATCTCTATAACGGACACGCATTATGAACAGTGCCTTTAAAGAGATTGCCCCCCAACTGGAGTTTCACATGCTATTGTTAGATATAAAAATTAAATAATACGACTCAGATCAAAACAATCAATGGGGAACTTGCATGTCCAGACAAAATTCCCATATAATTAACAAGTTTCTGCACATTTCAGAATAAAGTGAATGAAGAGACTAGCGTTTTCAGAAAATTCTCTTGCCATAGATTAGGTGTTAATATTGGTTTATTAGCAATGAAATAGTGAATGAATTTGTAAGTCAATGCATAGAGCTGAGTTAGACAGATAGATGACTAACAAGTAGCATCATATTCCCCAAAGTCAAAAATCAACTTTTCTAAAAGTTTAAGCTATTAAATGGAATACAAGGAATAGTTTTATATTTCTTAACACACCTTACATAAGAGTGGCAACTTAGAGTGTGGAGACTGGACAATTCACAGATAACATTGTGCTGAACTTTAATTTATTTATGAAGAAAGGAGGAAGCAAGGGAAGGTCACTTGATCAGATTATATTGTGGGGCTTATAGTATCTCAAAAATGACAAAAGAAGTACTGAGCTAAAATCATAAGCTGTAAAGCAAGGAATTAAGAATCCCTTTCATGTCTCCAACTCACTCATCATGCATCATGAAATGAAGAAAAAAAAAACTTAAAACTCTCATCCTATAACTAAACAAAACTTCATACCATAACCTTTCATTATAAAAGTAGAGAAAACTAGGGTAATACTTTAGACCTGAAACTCTGGTCTTAAACTCTTCAAACAACCATAATATCCTCGAAATGTAAAAACTTTTAATCAATGGCCCAAAAAATATTTATAACCTTTTAGAGCAAATATAAACAAGATGTCAGGCTAAACAATAAATTACCTGTTTCTGTGCACATCGATGATTAAGTACAACATCTCCCAAGGCCTATTAACAAAGGAAAAGTCTTTAAAAAAATAAGAATATGAAAATTTAGACACATGAGAAGAAATTTTTATTATGTGTGAGAGTCATGCTGGTAGCAGATATGAGATATGTATAACCATTAGTCCGATAGAAACAATTTAACTATATAAATTCATTTGTGCAACAGGGAATCCCTCACAATTTGAAATGAAAGTCGGTGAAATCATCAAAATATTTCCTTACAGAATTCAGCAATAATTGATTTTATGATTGCATTTACCTTGTGTCATTTAATAGGTACTTAACTGTTTCCTTTAAGACTTAAACCAACGCTATGTCATTTAAAAATATACACAATCTTAAGAACTTAACTGAGATCTCAAATGACTTAACATTCTTCCTATCACCTAAAAATTTAAAATAATGAGTTTAGTTAATGCCAGTGACCAATCAGTTTCCTTGTCTGTGATTCAAACAGCATAATTTAATAGAGAAGATATTAGTTGTTCATAAAAGAAATGTAGATTTGATTCAAATTTAAAGGGGGAGGAAACTTGAAGTAATCACTTTTGAACACCGAAAACCCATAAAATAAATGTAAGATTTGAACAGATTAGTTGCCTACAATACATATTCTGGTATTCAACTTTTTAAAATTAGTAGCACAACCTACCAGCAGATCTTGAGAATGCATTTCCTCTATACAGTATTTAAGCTCTTCCACAGAACCATAGGACGAATTCAAGTTGTAAAGATCAGAAGGCATATAACCTGCATATAATTTAAACTGTTCATGACTGCATTATCTGTCACAGTTGATCATACTATCACATAAAATAAATTTGTTTGGAAATAAATTTAAAAAATATTCTGTTAAAGGATAAAAATTGAAAAAGCCATGTTATAAAGCTTGCAGAAAACCATTTATCCTTTAAATTAGATGTGTGTAATTAGATGCTATAATCTTACATTTAGTGTGCATTTATTTATAGAAGTTATCCAAAGTACAAAACTGTCTGTTCCATGGAAAGAATGGAGCCATGAAATATGCTTATCTTAGGCTGAGTATATTATTTTTGTTGTTTTTTTTTAACACTTTCACATAAAAAAAAAGAAAATACAAATTATAAATTCTTTAGACAGCTCATAAGTGCAATGACATTATCAATCAGTTCAATGGTGCTAGTGAATATAAGGTAGCCAAATAATGCTTTACTTGGAAGAAATCAACAAGATATATCATACATGTTGACTACATGAAATAATATAAAGAATTAGATGAGCTTGCAATATATCAAAGCTATCAAACAATTTGAAGCTATGGGTAGAGATAACATTCATTATTTATTATACAAATAAAGTTAAAATGTTGTACATAGTTCAGTTGAAAACAACCATTCAAAGTAGAAGAAGATTTACTGATATGGTTATATAGTTGTAGTTTACTTTGAAGGCAAGCTAACAGCTGATGACAGTAGCACCATCAGCAGCATCTTAAACTAATCTGGACCTGAGATAAATACACTATCTGTATGCATATGATCAGACAATCATATTATGCAGATTGTTCGGTCTAATATAAATAGATCTACAACCCAAAAAAAAAGGAAAAAATTAATTATGGCATTCTATTATGATCACAGGATGCCCCTTCAAGTCCCCTGGAATATGCAGTCAATAACATTGCCAGAGAATACAGAAGAAAGCAAGTGAACCTTGAGGAGAAACAGATTGTGTTGGTGGTGGCAGCCACACTGCTGTCACCCCACAGTGAGATAAATCAGCTGCTTTAGCTGCTAATTCCAGATACCATCGTCTTCTCCAGCTCTCCCAGTTAAAGCCTTGAAACTTGAGTAAAATGAAAATTAATTAAAAACGATTTCTTTTTACTTCTTCCCCTTTTACTAGCCACCGGAAGAGGTAAATGCATGCAACAGAAAATGCACATGAAGAGTTGATAAAGGACAGCAGACAGAATAATCCAAATAAAACAATGCATGTGATATAATGAAATGAAAGGTAATTTAGTCAAACCAATGACAAAATTGGCATATAGTGTACAATTACTAAATGCTTTAGTGTTTCTACACATAGAGTATTGCATAATACTACAAATCTTTTTAGACACAAAAGAAAAATACATGCAAAAATAAGCTAAAAGAGGGATCGCTTAAATTGGAAAAACCACCAGACTAGCATACTAACCACAATCTCACGTCCTGTTCCTGTTCCTGGCTCTGCATTGAAGTTATGTTAAATTTCAAATGATAGAAGTGGACCACGTAAACAAATTAAATTTTCCAGAAGCAATTTTATATTTAATTTCAAGAAATGCTAGAGACAGCACATTGACCTAATTTTGTTTGTTCTGGAGCTCTTTGCCACTGTATAGTCTTCCGTTGAAGACCACGCTCCAATGCCTTCCGCTTTCTCTCAATAGTTTCTCTTTCATAAACATGCTCAATTAAAGCATCCCCTTCCTTTGGCTTTTCTCGAGCAATGGACCATACTTCGTCCGCTGTAGGCAACTCCAAGGATCTGAATTTTGATGTCAATGCTTCAGCTACATCAATCTTTTTTGGTGGAAATTTGGGGGAGACAGCATTAATCCTTCTTGCCATCCACTGAGGTATCTCTCTACGAGGACCATCACTCAGCAGTTTCCATTTTTGAGAATCAACATCTGTCAAAAGGTCTATCCGTCCCCCATTAACGACGTAGATAGAATCTTCACCCCCTTCATCTTGTAGCCTTTCCTTCAATAGCAATGACTCAGCCATTTCAGCTCTCTGTCTCCACATCTTCAAAGAATCTTCCGATGCCTTTAATGATCTCTGTAGTGCTTCACATCTTCTTAGGTAGGCATAATCTTTACAATGGGCCACTTCTTTGGCAGCTTCAACAGTAGCCTTGATGTTCTTCAAATCAGCCTTAAAAGCCTTGGAAATAGTCTTCGTCCTTTCTGCTACATCTTTCTTCACTTTCTCCAACATTGACTTCATCTCCTCCTCCTGCTTGAGAATGTTTTTCCTGCTTGATTCCTGAAAATCAAATAAAGCTTTCTCTGCATCATTAGCTCTTTGTTCAAATGTCTGTATCTGTTGTCTGGTGCTCTCCAATTCTAACTTCAGTTTATCAGCCTCATTTCTCGCAATCATCAACTGAGATTCTATATCACTTATTATTCCCTGTAACTTGATATTCTCCCCCTGGACAGCGGCAATTTCAGTAAATGGAGATGTACCATCTATAAATGTTTCCATGGACTTCTTTGCAAGTTCCCCTGCTTCCTCTGCCACAACTAGAGCCCTCTCTATAGCATAACTTGATTTTTCCACTATGGATGATATTGTACCCTCGGTTGCATCCTTAATTTGCTTTTCAATCAGATGAGCAGCTTCAGCAGCTGTGGTTTCGGCAGATGAAATTCTGAGTTGAGCATCCTCTAGTATATGAGAAGTTGCCTGCTGGAAAGCAACCTCTGCTAATTTTTCAACCTGCACAGCGAGATCAACAGCATCTTGTTTGGCAAGGACCAGCTTAGATTCCAAAGTGAATTTCTCTTCCACTGAGTCCTCCAGCTTTTGCTGGAAAAGAGATTTGGCAGCCTCTAGTTCTGCTATAGCCACTTCCTTGTCATGTAAAATGGTAGTGATATATTCCTGTTTTTTAGCTTCAGAACGAGCAAGTTCCTCAAGCAATTGATCCCTCTCTTTCTCAATAATCTCCTGTCTGTGTTGTGCCTCTGAAAGAGCTTTTTTGGTTATCACTAATTCATGCTCTATTCCTATGACTTCATTTCTTCCATGATCGTCTTGATCAACAACTACATCCGTGAATGTGTCATCTGAATCATTCTGTCACAGAAATAGAATAAATATAGATCATCCCCCACTATCCAAAGGCATAACCCTTCATCATTAATGCCTACTTGATAGAATATCATTAAAAGATATGTGAAACTTGGTCACCTTTCTGCAAAATGAATGACCAGCCTCCAAAACATGTATTTCATAAAGAACTAGATCTAAGTGTAAAAGTGGAGATATATATAACTTATTAGCATTGTCTTAATATTGGTTATTATTTATAACTTGTTAGCATTGTCTTAATTAACACTCTGAATGATTGTTGTTCCTTCATGATAAATGTTAAATTCTTTTCTGGAATTCTACCAAATAATATCCCAAAGGCTTTGTTAAAACTATACAGCAGAAAAGCAAAATGCAATCCTATTTTTTATTTATTTATTGAATTGTAGGAAATTATCTAGTTAATTTCGAATTAACAGAACTATACACAGCATATAATTTTGATTTGAACAATGATAGGTCCTGTCATACGAATTGAATCACTTGGAATCTTGGATTGATGTTTAGTTAATTGATTTGATTTCTTTTCCATTATTGTTCTTTATTCTTAATTGCATTATAAACACAACCTCACGCCACCAATTGCTCCTAAGTCCTAATTATAATTGAAAACATTGAATTTGTGTCCATGGAAGAATGACCTAGTTTTGCACCTTATACTACATTTAAATTAGATAACCTAGCTTTTATTTCAGCTCAAGAGCAACGCTCACATCAAAATTTGGCACCATTGCCGAGCACACAAATAGTTTTTTAACTATATTAGGATAGAATTACTCACTTTTAACATCACTAAAATTTATTTTTTCTACATTCTGTTTCTTGTTTCTACTGTTTTCCGCATACTGCATGAAATTATTAGTTCTACATTCTGTTTATAACTTTATTAGTAAATCTTCTCCACATTTTTAAACACCAACAGAGTTTTCTATCTTAGTTTAAGGAGAAGGTCCATAAATCCTAACTTCCTAAGCAATATACACAAGGAAAACTCCCTACCGTGTGTGAAAAAACTAGCTGTGCAGATTTGGAGATCCTCTTGTCAGCAAAGAAATAGCTTCTGCAAAGGAAAAAAAAAAACAAAAAAAAACAAAAAACATTCACTGCAATATTTGTACATAAAGTGGATAAGTAACTGAAAAAAACCACAGATCACAATTCACTTCTGCAATCACACCTCTTTGTAATTGATCTAGTAGAAGTTATTCTACAGATCAAAGGGTGCCTGGGAAGAACGGAACAGCGTGGAAGTAGCCCAAATGCTGCATCAGGCAACAGAGCAGCTCCCATTTTATTTCTGCACATTATATTATACAAACAATTCATACAAATACAACATTAAGTAACAGAAAGGTGTATCAGTAAATTAACAATAACAGCACAAGTCACAACACAACATACTCTATTCCTTTCCTTCTGTTATCTTCTTATCTCCCTAACCTCACATCTAGAGCCATCACCAACAGTTATCTGAAAATAAAAACCATAGGATAATTAGTTTATGACAATAAAGATTACAAGTGAATCGAGCTGAAAACTTGGAAAATCGAGAAATGCGATTTCAGAATAAAGATAAGTTGAAGAGAGTGAATTAGTCATTAGTATATGTGTAGTTGGGAATGTGACGCATAGGGAAGAGATGGGACCTGTGAAGCAATGGCGCGGACAACGAGAGGGAATAGCGAAAAGTGTGTCAAGGAAAAAGTTAAGACTCACGTTCCCATAGTCAATGTTTAATCGCCTACCGTTATTATTTATTTTCAACCGCAATGATTATAATAATTTATAATAAAGAGATTTAAACCATATCCACCTAATTTTTATTAAATATTATACTACTTAATAACTTTATATTAAATATAAATTTTATAAATTATATATACAAAATTTATATTAATCCAAGATGATTTGATACTTTATTCTTATAAAATAAAATTAATATAACATATATTTCAAAATATAATAAAATATAAACACTTTGAGTATCTTTAAGTTGTTCAATTTTAACAAAACTTGATATAAACATATAAAGTGATATGAAGTTGTAATTCTACGATTAGATTTACAAAAATCGTATTTAATATAAAGTTATTCAGTGATGTAATATTTAGTAAAAGTTACATCATGTCGCTTAAACCCTCCTCATTTATAATTATCTCTCAAATTTAGGATAAAGTTATTTTTAAGTCTTTTAAATTTAAAATAATTAATTTTAGTTTTTATAATTTTTAAAAATTTTATTTTAACCTCTTAAATCATCAATAATATATTTGAAATAATAGATTGAGTCATTATGCAGTATCAACTTGAGATTAATGTAATATTTTCACTAATAGAGATATTAGTACTCAGTATTTAACATATTACCTAACAATATTTGAATATAAGAATCAAAATAATTTTTCTTGAAATAACATAAATTAAAAAGATAAATTTTAAATTTAAGAGATTAAAAACAAATTTAATTAAAATTTTAAAATATATTTAAACTTAACATACATATATATATATAATAAATTATGCTCAACGCAGAATTTTATTTTTAAATAATGTGTCAGATTTGATTATTGTGAATAGAATAATTGTAGTAGAATTACCAATTTTATTAAAGTAGTGAATGAAATTTTTCTATAAAACTAATTGATAATTCATAGAATTTTTATACAAATGACAAATGTTTTTTTTAATATAATTATTTGTTAAAAATTCAGAGTCAAAATTACTTGTTAAAAAATATTTTTAGAGTGGTCTTGCGTGTTCAACTCAGCCGTAGTATAAGAGAGATGATTCGCCTTGGTGGATCCAAGAATGATGAAAAACATCATGAGTTGATATTAGTTTTTATTTCTTTATCCCTCCTTCAATTTACGTGCATTGTTCTCATTTCCATCATAAAGGGTGTTCCTTAAAGCTGGTTCTAGCTGTTAATGCTTTTTTGTTTCCTTGTTTCTCAAATCTTGAAAAAGTCTTTTTTTCTTTATCTTTTTCTTCTCTTTTTTTTTCGTGTTTCTTGCTCAAACTTGACCCCACCACCACCACGAGGCATCCAAATTGTTGCATCAATTGCATTGCCTCATAAAGATGATTGGAACAAAGAGTAGCATTTAGTACAGTTGAGTTATACTTTATTATGAACCAAAAGAAAAATCTCTTACATAAAAAGAGTTTGCAAATAAAGTAACATGAATTTTGTTCATAAATGTTCAAGAATCACATGTCCATAGATCCTACCCATGACTCATGGATTATGCCTGTGGCTTACCTATAAAAGGAGCAACTTTATTAGAAATGTAACTACTAATCCAAAGCAATTCAAAAATCCAATGTTGACACAATG